CCCGTGTCCCCTGCATTGGCAGGCGGACTCTCAACCACTGTGCCACCAGGGAAGCCCTTGGATTCTTTTAACTGTTGTAGAATGGTAGCTATAATTTCCTTCAAGCACTGTCCTCACAAGACAGGACATTTAGGGACAGAATGATAGCCCCAGCAAGAAATCTACATTTTCTAAGGCACATGGAAAAATGATAATCCAGAGAATAGAGTTTAATGGATTTATTACATTCTTTGAAAATCTATGTTGAGATGGCTTCCCTTCAAAGAATGTTGGCATTTGAGTTATACCCTCTTGTTCATGTCTAATTAAGGGACCATACAACTGGAGTCTCCTGTAATATGACTAATCATGAATGCTTATTAGAGAGTTTGTAATAAAAAAGAAAGTAGAGAAAACCTGATGGAATGCCAGCATTTTACTTGATAAAAATAGAAAGGTATTTAAAGGCCACAATGTTTGCATTTGATGGCATACAAAGATGGTGCCTTGGGGAAGACAAAATGATTATTAAAGTGTATTTTTTACAATAAAAATTTTTAAATAAATGGGGCAGTTTTATACATTTCTTAAACAGAATACATGCAAGTGATGCACATAATAATTGTATTAGACAAAGGCTTTTTACACACACACAGACACACATAGAATATGACCTAATAAATATTTTTATAAGATAAAAATAAGCAGTTTTACTGCTACTGCAAATTAATTGCCTTCATCAAAAAGTAGGGGGTTGTGATTTCAACAAATATTCTCATCATAGTTAACACTTTGGGAAATCACACGCATACCTCAGAAATCGTTTTAGTCATCTGTCTACAGAGCTCTGGTTCATATTTTTCTTCTTGTAGGTAGTTAGTTAACACATCTTTCAGAATATGATTGACAATGACAACAGGAAAATGTTTGGTAGGACCTGAAAATACAGATGGAATTTCTTTCAAAGAAGTAATTTCAAATCATATCCATCCACCCCATAGCTTTATTGAAAGAGGGGTCTGAGAAGGGAACTAGATCCCAGAAGAGCCATGTGGAGAGGGCTCCCTTAAGAGTAGCTTATGTCCTTCTGTTGATAGATGCAAACAGCCCAAGATGAGCCCAAAGGCAAGGGTTCACACTCCTTTCTTCCTGCT